AAAATAAAAAAAAAAAAAAAAAAAACTTGAGTTGTTATCCAATTCTAGAATATTTAAAAGCTTAACCTGGGATTCGAAACCCTACAAACAACCTTATATGTCGCAAATTAATCATTATTATGTTAAATCTAAGTTTAATACCAAATTTTTCTGCATGATCATCTCCAACATTAATTAAGTTTAGAACAAATTGTCTTGAGAATTATAACATATCGATCTAGTGATGTTTTTAGAATGACATGATAAAAGAATCATAATCCGCCCTCTCTATGTAATTCTTAAAATAATTATTATATGTTAATAAATTTATAATATATGATAATTTATAGTAAATGTAGATATAAAAAAGAATGTACATTATATGTAGATTTTAATTAAATTCTTAAGAAATTTTTCTCTTGCCAAGAAAGTAAGGGACTTATTGTCCTGCCAATAGCCCATGACGAGCCCAAAGCAAATTAAGACGTGGATAAGTCAAAAAGATTACCCATACGGCATGCCCACTTCTGAATGAGTCCATTTTTTTTTTAATATATAGTTCATTTATAGTGATCGTCTCAAAAAAAAAAAGTATATACGCAGATTAGAGAGAGGTAAATAAGCTGTTTGAAAGAAAAAAAACTATAAATTGTGTGCTGTTTGAAACCAATTTCATAACCTATACAGTGTCAGAACGCTCTTCTAAACATGTTTTGTATCTATTTTTATAAAACTTTAAAAACAATCTTAAAAAAGTTAAAAGTTAAAACACATGTTCAAACCCTTTTTATTTAGTTTAAATTAAATGTGCATGATAATGTGGTGATCTTAACCAATCAATTCGATCTGGCCCCTAATTACTTTACACAACACCTCACTTGGATTTATTTTTTTCCCCCTTATTTAATAGAATTGCAATTACAATACCAGTATTTAAACTATGTTCATACTCGTTTGATTGCAAAGTAATTTAGCCAAGTGGAACTTTTATAAGATATTCACATTGGATAAAATTTATATTACATGTTGTACGTGACTATCTTCATTTAAGAGAAATTTGGATGCTGTTAAGGAATATTTCATCCTCTCTTTTTCTCTATGGCTCAAGAACTTGATGAATCATCCAGATGCAACAAGGTTGTCAATTGGGACATGGTGGATTTGATGTTTATGGAATCATATGATCTTTAAGACAGATTAGTTATGGACTGTGAACTATGTTGTGAAATAGATAACATTAGATATACCACATAATACACTTTACTTAAGGTCTAAGTCTCTTTGGTAACAGTGTGATAAGTGGAGTCCAGCAGATTATTCCTTTGTCAAGTTGAATGTTGATGGAAGTTGACTAAAGAATTTGTGATTGATGAGAATTGGTGGAGTGGTGAGGGATGTTGTTAGTAGATGGAAAGGAGGATTTGTGAACTTGTTTGAAGAAGGAGACCCCTTACATGCAAAATTTCTTACTTTGGAGGTGGGATTGCATTTATATTGAAAAGGAAGGTTTAAATTTCTTATTTGTAAGTTAGATTGTACAATTGTTATCTCATCATTCGTGAGTACCTGCAAATTTCATTTTACATTTTAGATTTCATGTAGTTCTCTTTGTTTATTTACTTATTATAATATATATATATATATATATATATATATATAACTATGCTCATACTCGAATCTCTCATCACTTATATCCAAGTTGAATACATACACGTACACGTCAATTAAATGCAGAGGTTTTGACGTGTAACTTTTGTTAAATATAGATTTTTCAGTTTTTTTTTTTTTTTTTGAGGAAGGGTTCCTTAGGGTAAGAAAAGTTAAGAACTCAATTGCAGACGGATCTGTTGTAGGGACTTGCTACAGTACCCTTAAAGATTAAGGGGTTTCAATACATTTTTCTATGTAAACTCATAAAAAATTTTAAAAAAATTAACTTAATTATAAAATAAATGATCCAAATTATACTTATAAATAAAAAGTAAGATAAAATTATAGAGATTAAAAAAATTCAACTATAACAATCCTAGGAAAATCCAACAACATTTCATTTTAACTATAACACTCATGACTAGAATATTTAAACATGACAAAATATTTATTATTAATTGAAAAATACTAAAATATTGTATTATATTTCATATTAAATAATTAAAAGAAAAAATAACAATAATTAAAAAATTAAAAAATTAAAATATTATAAATATTATTTAAATAAATTATTAAAAATATAAAATATAAAAAAAAATGTACCGGTACACTCTTAAACAAGATGGGTACCATAGAATTTCTCTAATCTCTATAGCTTTCCCGGTTATAATTTTCTGCTTTTGTTTCCCTCTGATTTGCTCTTACACTTCCTAACATTCAAAAATTCTATTCAGTTGCTTTAACAAGTGCTCTGGTTCGCCTAGCTTTCAGTACCCCATTCACATGTAAACATTTATCATATTATATGCTGCAATCAAAGCATATATAATAACAAATCAAAGTTCATCCACTATTGCTCTATTTGAATTTATATATATATATATATATAAATACTCTTATGTGAATAAAATAAGAAGAAAAAATTAAATAATTTTTTCTTAAAACTAAAATTAATTTATACAAATCATTTGTTTTTTCATTGGCATAATTTGCATAATATCTTAAAACTAACAATAAAAATTAATATGTACTAACAGCACATGATTTTTAAAATTAATTTATACAATCTAACTTGTAGAAACTTTTTAATACTAGTTTCTTTAAAAGTTAACTTTTAATTTGTGAAAAATTTGTTTCTATTTTCCTTCTTGTTTTCTTCTAAAATAATATTTGTGTAAAATATAATAAACAGACAAATATGTGATTAGTTGGTGTCGGGAATTATACAGTGTCTGAGTTCTATATATGTTGCAACATTTCCCTTTTAGTACATTTATTTGATTGGAAGTTTGATTAGTGATTTCTGCCTCAGCTTCCATTCATTATTTATATATGCTCCATTGACTGGATAAAGTACGCCACTTTGTTCTTTTCTTTTTAAACTTGGAGTATATATAGCTATTATAACAAATTAGCAATCTAGGGCCATTGATCATAACGATATTATTATTCACTTGTGGAATCTTTTGCGAGCACATGTCTTAAAATCTGAATCGAAATGATGTGTATCTTATCGGATTATCCTTTATAATTTTGTTCAATTTAATCACCAATATTCTGCTAATTAAAGAATTTATGCCAATGGATCCAATCACGAAAGCATTGTTGTGAGCAGCAATGGCACCGATCATAATTTTCTAGTGGTATTTTATTACGTAATGTTTATGTGCACGATATTAAATCTTAATTTCAATTCTCTGTCCTATAGTTTTTGTGGTCCTACATATTCTCTGTCCTATAAAACAATATTACATTAATTGACTTGGTTTACTCTCTTCAAAGACTTGGAGTACATTATTATGAAGCACAAATGCTACTTACACATTAAACTATTTATATTGCACTTTTCTAGTATAAAATATAAAAAGGGAAAGTATAAGTGATGAAATGCGTATTTTTGTTATTTTATTATATATACACGAAGCGGCGAAGGGCTAATCCTAGTTTTTCATTGCGCAAATATTATTACTTTTATGGGCTATCTTAATTTACTTGGATTAGGCAATTCTTTCGGATAAGAAAGAGTGCATAGTTGTTTCATTCAAAATTGTCACCTTAGTTAACATTAAAAATAACAGTATATAAAGTAGGAAATAATTATGATATACACAGGTTGGTGACCACCAAAAATACACATAGTGTGCTAGCTTCGCCCTTTTTCTTGTTCCGAAATAAGCCAATAATCCTTCACTTTCATCTTCATCTAGAGACATCTTTAATCAAATCTCACGAAGATTGAAGACAGTACAAATCCTTGTTTGAACTAATAATAATTAACTTGAGAATATTATTGAAAAGAATGCAGTAACAAATTTAACTAGTTTATTTTACATTTGAGGTCAAAATAAAGCAACTGAAAATTTAAACTCTGACAAACATTGATTATGGTTGATTGGTTTGGCTAGCTATATAACCAGAACTGAAGGCATTAATTCTAGTACTACTACTAACTCGCGTCAAAAGGAACATATTATAGTAAACTGGCTAGCTAGCATCCTTCTCTATAGTTACGCTCCAAACCTTCAGGTTCTAATGGTTGGATCCTTATAATGGTTTCTGGCACTGCTGGCACTACTGGTTGTTGTGATCCAACAATTTTCTTACAAGTCTCAATGAGGCACTGTCTGCACTTGGGGCACGATGAGTGTGAACTTAGCCACTTGTCAATGCAGCGAACGTGGAAACCATGGTTGCACTTTGGCAAAATGCGCACCTTCTCACCATTGGTGAACTCTGAGAGGCATATCACACACTCTGTGTCCAAACCTGGGAGTTTTACTTCTGTTGAGTAACTCACAGTGGGAAAAGTCTTGAGGGCTTTCTTCTTGATCCCTGTGTTAGCCAATCGTGGTGAAGGGTTGTTATGGCTCCCACTTGATGAAGATTGGTCATTGATGACTATGTTTGAACACCGTAAGATACACTTGATGATGGAGTTCAACCCTAGTGAGCAAATAACAGCACACAAGAGGACTGAGAGTATCATGACAACGTTTGCATCGAAGTCACGGCCTTTGAAGTATGAGTCTGTGGAGTTGTATGTGTTCATCATGGAATCTGGTGAGTTTGCTGAGTTGGTTGATTGGTGAAGTGGGTTTTGGAGAAGCTTTCTTGAGTTATTGTCCACGAGAAGGTCGTGGACGAGTTGTGAAGTGAAGGAAGTAGAAGCATACATGTTGTTGGGAATCTTGAAGGAGTGTTAGTTGGAGTTGGAGCTAGAGCTTGAGGTTGGTTGTCTTAGGCCTTAGGGGTTTATATATAGGGGAAGTTATAACATGTAGAATATGATCTTTGATATGATATCTCGCTAGCTTTGATTAGAATATGTATCTATTATTGTTGTTTTGTGACTGGTTGGTTGTTAGAATATTCCTAAGGAGTTTTGGGAAGGATGGGAAATTTAACTTTTTATCCTGGCTGGGAGAGATAGATCAGAAGCATATATTTGGATGGTACATCCACTGACAAAGCCTTTTCTATATTAATTCGGCTTCCAATGATGGGTCCATTTTAATTCCACTTTACACGAAGCAGAATGAACCAAGTGGCACCGTGCCAGCTGTTAGTCCAAGGCAAACAAACCTTGAGCCAGAGAAGGAATAGTGAAATATGAAGCTTCGTGAAAGATGAGTTTTTCTTTTTATCAGAAAAAGATTATAAGCATCCATTATAATCTCTCACTATTAATTAAATGATGCAAGTGATTCAAAAGAACAAAATGAGATTTCAACCCCTAGTTCCTAACCTCATTAACAATATTTTTAAATCAATTAAAAAAAAAATAGATACAAGTGAATTTTTAGTCGATACGAAACTTGTAAGATGTGAGTTATAGGTTATATGTCTAATTTAATCTTACAGAACAAACTTATAAAATGAGAGATATTATCTACTTATATATTCTTAATTTAATTATTTTATTTTTGATTGATATGAGACTTAAATTTTTTAATAAATAATTATCATTAATAGTAATAATTGATATGATGTAATTATATTTTAGCAGTCATTATATATTAATTATTAATATTTTATTAAATAATAAAATAAAATAAAAATTATTACAGTTAAATAATTATATAATAATAAATTTTGTTACAGGACAAAAGCTGAAATATAGTTTCGAGGTTGATTCAATGTCCCATCTTTTGGGTCCCTAGCTATGATAAAAAGTTGAGCTTAGTGCCTAATCCCTACTGACTCACATGAAAAAGTTCAGGAAATGGTTTTTGTTTTTATTGTCGCCAGTTTCCTTTTGGTGAACCCGACGTAAGATGGTCATCTAATAATGCAACACGTTGAGGTTCATGTATACCTCATTAACTAATTAAAATCATCTCATTAAGCATACAAAAACCAACAATCTTACTATATACATAATATGATGGTAAAACGTCATTACATTATGAACTATATATAATAAAAATGGTGGAGTAATTTTGATTGCTGCTTTGAGATAAGTTTGGTTTATTCCCTCTCAACCTCCATGTATATAGCTAACAACAACTAATTATTCAATGGTCTCCTCATGCTAGTACGACTCAGACATTGTGAACGTGGCAGATGCTGGAAAAATCTCACGTTTGGCTGGTCCTAGCGAGTGTGCTTCCCATAACAGCATAACCTAAAAAAGTGCAATATTTAAAGGAAGATTCCCTTCGGATATGATTATGCATGATAACGTTTACATACACCCATCCACTGTTTAGGGCAAAAATTAATGGTTGATTATGTCTACTCACTAATGAGAGGGGCCTATTATCGACACGTGAAGAGGGTAGAAAGAAGAAATTTTACCCGATTCCTTCACCAATGTCCGAGGAACAAACAAATTGAATGATGATTATTATTGTTACATGAAAAAGAACATTTAGGTCACTGTAAACTCATAAGAATTTTTTCTATGACCGTGTAAAAGCAACCAATTAAAAATTATAACAAGTATGAATTGTAATTACATTTTTTCTAGTGTTTAAAATAAAAGTGAAAATTATATTATTTAATTTAATAATCGGTTACATAAACAATCAATTATCATTATAATTAATTATAATGAAAATAAATATTGTTAAGATAAATTTATACAAATACAATATTTACAGGTGAATCCTTGATGAAGACAAAGCATGTGCATCAGTTCATATATGCATGTTCATGAATTTGTTGATTATTATTGGAGAAGAACATGAAGGCAAAATAATATAATATATTAATAAGTGATAGTAATATATTTTTGGTAATTAAAAAGTATGAAATTATGAAGAAATTGATTAATTAAATAGAATGTGTGTTAGTATCTGTATCTCACATGCTTAACATTTGTGATCCTGAAAAGAGCAGTGTCTCTGTCGGTCTTTGTCTTATCTCTGGGTCGATGTGGGACCAGAGAAACAATAACAGTTAGTGAGATCCAACCCACCAAGATACGGATCCAAGTAGTGGTACTTGTAGTACTGCCAGAGCAAAAAGCAAAAGCACCTCCTTTAAAAATGGCTTCTCTTCTCTGGTTGATTAATTACTGTACAGTGTACACGACTCTAATTAGTTAATGAAGAGCAATTACACAAAGCTAAACAATAAAAAAGCGAAAAAGAACCCCTCTCCACTTGTCTCCTCGTACACATTACTCCATTAAATTTATAATATCCCACTCCTGAATCCAGCACTTTCCGCGTATATATAAAGTCCAGCTGTGGACAAATAAAACGGGATTGGAGATCAAATTTAGCTTAAACATTTTGCCTATTTGCTCATTTCTTATCATTAACTACGCTGCTTTAATTAGGAACCACAACTAGTTAAATCTATCAGATTGCGATCTATCTACTTGCATAGTGTCAACATTGTAAACAAATTCATATGTCGCCGAAAGGATTTGGAACCATTTTCTATCCAAACATATATTATGATATGACACCCGAAATAATTAATTAACATCTTACATATATAGTATTATAAGTATATATATGTGTATAAGGAATGACGCATCAGACTTATGAGATAAGAGCTATATGTACAAACATTCGTTGTGGCCTACAGGTGGAGTTTATGTAGAGACATATAGAATGGCTTTTCGAATTTAATTTAATACCCAACAAACTTTTCTGCTTCAAAATTTTAATTATGTATGATCGATGTTGATTAAAAAAATTTCCTATAATACTTCTATATCTATAACATATTTACCAAAACAAAATGAAGGAGTATTGCTGATTATTCTTGCCCTTTCAATCTCTAGACAGTTAAATAAACTGATCTTTTGTATCTTCGGTGAAAAGCTAGTAAACACTTTAGCTAGTGCTCAAGTGAATTTAGTATAATATAAATGTTAAGTTGTTTACATAAATTTTATGTAACTAATAAAGAGGGGAAAAAATAAAGAAATTTAGAGCGAACTAAAGGTCTCATGTATAATTTTTTTATAAAAAAAATGTGATTTTCAATAAAATATACTTATGTAAGGAGTTAAAAAAATATTATTTTATTTAAAATAAATGTTCCAATTTATTATATATGAAAATATTAGATTTGTTGATACGAAAATCTTGCTCCCCCTATAAAGTGAAAAGTTGTTTAATTTGTATGTATATGCAATAATGTACAGTATTTCGCAATATGGTACGTAAACAATTACTGGGATGGTCGTTATCGTTCTCCGACTTATGCTTGGTGCTTCACACGCCATGACCGGGACTTGCCAGCAGCCACATGTCTGCTGCTTTACCGTAACTTTCAATTTAATACTAAGAAATTATTTAATAGAATGAAAAAGAAAGAAAAAAATTATTAAATAATTAATATATATAT